TTAAAAAAAAAAAAAAAAAAAAAAAAACAGTGGGAGGACACTTGGGTGGAGAATAGACCCATCTGTTCCCAATTTCCTTGGCTTTATCATTTGTCTTCCATGAAGAATAGTCTGATAGAGTTTCTCTTGTCAAGGTAATCCCCTTACCTCTCTTTTTCTCGGTCTAATCGGCCACGATCAGGAAACAGTGGAGGTGTTGGCCTATCTCTCACTGTTAGGGGAGGCTTAAGTTGTGTCTTTGGGGAGGGACGGATGGTTTTATTTGGTCTTAATCATTTTTTTGTTTTTCATGTAGTTCTTTTTTCCATCGTGTGTGATCCTGATGGTGTGTCCTTCTTTGTTGTGGAAGGTTAGAATGTTGGAGATGGTTATGTTCTTGGTGGGACATGTTTTGCATGGGTAGGTTTATACCATGGATTTTACTGTGAGACATTCCTCCTTTGTGGTGGGTCCTCATTGGTACATTCTATGTAAGAGTGTTGGGAAGACCTGAATCATATTCTTTGGAGTTGTCAATTTGCTCGCTCTACAGGGATAGTTTTTTTTTTTTTTCCAGTTGTTTGAAGTTTGTGTGCAAGGCATGTGGATTTTATGTCTATGATTTAGGAGGTTCTCCAGCATCCTCCCTTTTGTGACAGGGGTTGACTTCTTTGGCAAGTCATTCTCTCTCTCTCTTTTTGTGGTATTTGGCTAAAAAGGAACAACAAAATCTTATTAGGGATCGATCCAAAGTCAGACTCAATGCCTCAGTTTGGGTGGCAGTCTCCAAGGACTTGTGTAACTATCCACCAGGTGTTATCTTGGATTGGAGATCCTTTTTTTTACAGTTAGGGTTGGCCTTTTTCAGTGGGCTGTATATTTGTATTCCTTCAATTTTTTCTCATGAGAGCCTGGTATTTGAGTGCTTTGTATATCCGTTGGCTCTCTAGTGATATTTGAGATTTTTACTTGTTTTCTTTCCACTTCTGTGGACGAGAAACAAAAAAATGAACATGTTGAAGGAATCTTTTTTTTCTCTTGACCTGGGCTTCTTTTAAGTAATGCTTTGATAATACATGTCTTGATTACTACACAGTAAGAATTATTTACAAGAATTATTTTTATTCCTATTGTATTCTGTTAAATCTAACATTTTGTTGTGAAAGAACTATATAGCTTGAGATTTTATCATATTCCATTCTGTCCTATACCACTGACAGACCTCTTTTCTTAATTGCATCGTCTTTTTCCTTCATTTCCCCCTTTGGTGAAAGTTATTTCAAGCCTTTTATTCATCTATACGTGCTTTACAGATCATAGATGCATGTGGCAAGGGAAATTTGGGGCGTTTCATTAACCACAGCTGTGATCCAAATTGCCGCACAGAAAAGGTTTATATCTTATTCTCTACAACATTGTAGCATATTGTTTTTATCAAAGAAAAAAGACATTGTAGCATATTTATTGTTATATTTTCTCGTTATGTTGTCTTCTTTTTGTGAGCACTTTCACCCTGGAAGGTAGGACTTGTATGCAGAAGTGGTATATTATTGCCTGATGAGATCCTAAGGTTTTTGTTTTGCCCTGTAGTTTGAGGAAGACTTTCCTAGTCTGATTGCTGAGTCTCCAGGGTTCTTTATGGCAAAGAGATAAATTCTAGATCAAGTTCTTATGGCTAGTGGGGCGATAGGGGATTATAGGAGTTGTAAACAGATATGAAGTTGTTATTTCTAAGATTGATTTTGAAAGACTTGGATTTTGGTTCCATGGGGCAATCGGGGAGGATAAGTTGTAACAGCCCAAGCCCACCGCTAGCAGATATTGTCCTCTTTGGGCTTTCCCTTCCGGACTTCCCCTCAAGGTTTTAAAATGCGTTTGCTAGGTAGAGGTTTCCACACCGTCATAAAGAATTCTTTGTTCCCCTCTCCAACCGACGTGGGATCTCACAATCCACCCCCTTTCGAAGTCCAGCGTCCTCGCTGGCACTCGTTCCCCTCTCCAATCGATGTGGGATCTCACGCAAGTTGGGTCTTGTGCATCCTCAATTTGCCAACGACACTATTTTTTTGGGGTAGGGAAGATTCCTTCATTAATACTAATTGCTTCCTTTTTGTTCTTGAGTCCATTTGTATTTTAAAGACTTGTAGACGTAATTGTTCGATCATTAGTTTAAATAATAATCGTACTAAGCTGGGTAATTGGGCCTCAACTATTGGTTGTGAGGTGGTAGCTTTTCTTCTTCTTATCTAGGTGTTCCTTTAGGTCACAGTTCTTTGAAATTGTTGTTTTGGCTTTCCTTTCGGAATAGATCCATTTTGAATGGCTTTCCTTTAGGTTTTCCTTTCTTCTTCTTATATGGAGAAGATCCAAGAATGGCTTTCCTTTTGGAATAGAGTGTTCTTGTCTGAGGGAGGTAGGTGAACCATCATTCCGTCTGTCTTGGGCAGAATTCTGACTTCCTCTATATATGTTGGATCTTTGTCTTGGTTAGTAAATAGTAAGATTATTGAGAAGTTTATGAGAGACTTTTTCAGTAATTGAAGGAGAGCGTTCTCATTTGGTTAGCTAGAAGGTGGCAACAAGAACATTGGAACTTGGGGGTTTCGACATAGGTAATATGAGTTTTCACTATGGAATCCAGTTGGATAAGTGGTTATGGCACTTCTGGACTCGGTGGCACAAATTTATTATTGAGAAATTATTGTCTTCATCCTCTTGAGTTGGCTTTAGTTTGTATGTTGTAGGTTGAAAGGCATTCTTGGAGCCCTTGGACAGCCACCTCTTCTGATTTTTCTTTCTTTTGTCAATTTATTAAATGCTTTGTCGGCAATGGTTTGAATACCTACTTTTGGGAGATTCTTAGGTGGGTAATAGTCCCTTGTGTGTACCCTCTAGCCTCGATTATACCATTTGCTCTTTGAGGTTACATTATGTAGCGTCTCTTTTGTCCTTCTCGGGCATCTCTTCTTCGCTTTGTCTTGGCTTTTGCCGTCCCTTGCCAATTAGGGAGATGACAAATGTCTTGGTCGGGATTTTGCAGTTAGTCCATGGAGAAGTGATATTTATCATTAGGTCTGCAATTCTCTGGAGGGGTTTTCTTATTAGGTATTTTCGCTATTATTATTTTTTTTGCTAAAGCACAATTGCATTGTTTGAAGTACTCTTATGATGCATGCTAATGAAAGATAATAGTTAGATTTCCTATGAGTCTAAGGAGAAGCATAAACAATATACTCTAGTGTTTAGTGAAGTGGAGATACCCCTTTCATAATTCTAAAATATTCTCCTATGGATCAATATTTCTCATAAAAACACTAACTGCATTGAGTGAGGGACCTTTATCTTTAAACTCTAGAAGGTGGCCTGTCTGAATTAACCAAAAGAGATTAGAGGTGGTCATAGGGCATGTTATGCTCGATTAAATAGTGGTGGTTTGTGAAATATTTGTTCTACTTCTTCCATTACCTCATAAGATTCATATGCCATAGCAATGAGGGAAAATATTGAGAGCCATGGACCAAACTCTGCAACTTTTCATGAGTTTTTATATTGATCGCCGAACAACTTTAAAGCTAAAAACTGACTTTTTTCTGGAAACTTGTCATTCCAAATTACCTTACAAGAAGAAAATCCTAGTGAGGATTTGGACGTGAAGAATAGCTTGATTGGCCATTCTCTAGAATCCATCCAGTAATAAAGATGGCTCGAATCCATCCAAGAAATTTATTTTGAAAAGTCATGGTCATTGCATAGGTTTTATGTATTTTCATGTCAACCAACCTTGGTTTTTAGCAGTTTGAGATTTTTAATATTTCTATATTGACCAGGTTAGTTCCTACTTTTCAATAGCAATGAAGTTTTTTATTTTCCAAAATTTTCCTGTCATTATTGAGGGCAGTGCTAGCAACCTAAACTTTAGGTTTTGAAGTGTTGTTAGAGAATTTATGATTCTATAGTTCTCTTTTCTTTTCAATTCTCATTTTCTTAGTATTGGAACAGTGGATGGTGAATGGAGAAATCTGCATTGGGCTATTTGCGCTAAGTGATATTAAGAAGGTATTTTACTGTTTTCTTTTGTTACCTTCATGTTCATTTACTGATTCATTAACAGAAAGAATATCCATGAGTTATGATTTGGATGGCTTTTGGTTGAAAGGGTATAAGTTTTAATTAAAAGAGTAGGGATTGGGTGGTGGTGGTTGACAAAGTGAGGTTTGATGCTTCTTTTTTGTGTTTTGTTTCTAATTCTTTTTTTGGTTATTATATATAACCCTTTAGTAATGCTAATTGGGGCATGTTCTTTTATGCTCCCAGGGTTGGAATTTTGGTACTTCTGTAAGATTTTTTTTGTACTTCGTCAATGAAAAGGGGTGTGCGTGTTTTTCTCAATTCTTTTAAAAGATCTACCTTTTGACTCAATGGTAGAGAATGCTTCTGTAACCTCCATCTGTTTGGGGCCCCTGAAATACAACTGTTGGATGGTTTACTTATTTACCTTTTTCCTATCAATTCCTGTGGTACAAATTATGATGATAATACTTTTGTGTGGCTCTCTTGTTATAAAGTATATACTTCTTTCCACAGCTATAGTTTCAGTTTCTTTTGTGCGCCAATTGAAAGTTTCTTTCCACAGCTGAAATCAAGTTTAGCTTTAGTTAATTAGTTTTGGTGACATTATTAACACAAGCATGACCATGTGATTTCATAACTTTTTGTAGTTCTCTTTTGTTAATGAAAGTTGCGTCTCCCATAGAAAATCTTTTTTACTTGATCCTTTAATTATCTGTATGGATGGATGAAACTGAACAGGCTTGACATTTCCATTCAGCTCTTAAACTGTAAGATATATTTTCTTTAAAATTATCCTTTCCTCAAATACTTTTCCCAAATTTCTTGGATGATCCAGACACTCCTGCATTTTATTTTGTTCAAAGCTTGATATCTGATGCTTTGTATCTTTTTGGCTCAGCAGCAGTTTTCTTCTTTTTCCCCCATTTCTATTTTCTGGGTAAACAAAGTTTTAACAAAAATAAATAGAATGTTTGAAAATAGACATCACTTATTCAAGGCAATAGCTGGTAATTTTCTTTCATCAAAACCTTACTTATAAATTAGGGAGTAGACTTAAGAGCTCAACATGCATTTTTTTTAAGGTATTCATGCTTTTTATGTCAATTTTGTCCATACCCGTTCAGTTTCTTGTTTGAGTGCCTTCCGTTGCATTTGCAAGAAGCTCTATCCTCTGTTCTTTCCTATTTCAGGGTGAAGAGGTGACATTTGACTACAATTATGTAAGGGTATTTGGGGCTGCTGCCAAAAAATGTTATTGTGGTTCTTCCCATTGTCGAGGTTATATAGGTGGTGACCCCCTCAATTCTGAGGTCATTATTCAAAGTGATTCAGATGAAGAATTTCCAGAACCAGTGATGGTTCGTGCAGATGGTAGAAGTTGGAATAATAGCTTGCAAACTGCAGTTAGTTCGTTGGATGGTGCTAAAATGCAACCCCCAGAGCGTATAAGAGGGGTTAAGGATAAGAGAGAACAGCCTATCAGTCTAGCTATCGAATCGAAGATTTCAGAAGAAAAAGAGGATCCTCTTAAGGTTTCTGCTTTGAGAAGTTCAGAAGAAAAAGAGGATCCTCTTAACCTTTCTGCCTCTACCATTTCACCATTGCACAGTTCATTGGAATTTGAAGACTCAAAGGTAGCAACACCGATTCCACTGCCAGAAATAACCCAGCAAACTGAAGATGTGACGAGCAAACCTGTGTTTGTTGATCAGACAGAGATATCTCTTATGGGCAGTATTTCCAACAAAAACACGTGCTCTAATGAGCAGGAAGCAAAGTTATCATTTGACGACTTTGATGCTCGTAAGAAATCCAAGTTGGATGCTGTTGAAGATAAGAAAGTGTATATAAAGTTGCATCCTCAAATGAAAACTTCACGTAAACCAGGTTCCATCAAGAAAGGAAAAGTTTGCTCGGTAGAAAAAGTTCAAATAACTAACAAGCCCCAGATTTCGTCTGTAAAGCCCAAGCGATTGATTGAAGGTTCTTCAGGTAACCGCTTTGAGGCAGGTTAGTCACGTTTGGAATACTAGCTTTAGCTTAAATAGCTTTGATAGGCTTGTTAATGGTTAATTTTATTTAATGCTTCAGTTGAGGAGAAGCTTAATGAACTCCTGGATGCTGAAGGGGGAATTAGCAAAAGAAAAGTGAGTTGTTATGGCTTTCTGCATGTTGATTTGTTGAATTTTCTGATCTTTTGGTTTTATTTGCTGGTGGCAATGAATGGTTATTTTATCTGGGCCCTTTTCTGCTCTACCATCAGATTCTCTTTCCTCATGAAATTCCTTTGTGTTTTTTTCATGGCTCAAAGTATTGGTTTCTGTTTGTGTAGCCTATTCTTTGTACTTTTTTTCTTGATAAACTGTGTCATTTTTACCTGAAGCCGAAGGAAAAACAGGGTGGAATTGCATCCGATACAGTGTGCTCATTTTCTGTAGAGATGTATGCATTGTGTTTTGAGTACTCATAAGATTTTTCCTCCCTCTAACAGGACGCCCCTAAAGGGTACTTAAAGCTTCTTCTCCTGACTGCTGCATCAGATGCAAGTGCCAGTGGTGAAGCAATTCAAAGGTTGCCTTTGATTATTTTTTATTTTTTCAATGTTCGAAATTATGAATTTTATCCTGTTGTCTTTTAGACTCATTATGTTATGCGTGTGAAAATATTAAATGTTTTTTTCTTGTTTTGACAGCAATCGAGATCTTTCAATGATCCTTGATGCTCTTTTGAAGACAAAATCACGAGTAGTATTGACTGACATAATAAACAAAAATGGTAATCTCTCTCAGTTTTTCTCAGTTTTTTTGGTGGTCTCGGAGTGTATTTTCTTTGTTCTTGTGCCATTTGTTTATAGAATATCTCATACTGTCTATCTCCCCCGCTCTTTTTTGCTCTTAGGTTTGCGGATGTTGCATAATATAATGAAGCAGTACAGAAGTGACTTCAAAAAGATACCTATTCTCCGGAAACTTTTGAAGGTAATACTCTTAATGGAAGTTGCAATATTTCTTTTCTTACTGGAAGTTGCAATTCTTTCTTTCTTTCTTTCTTCCTTTTTTTTTTTTTTTTTTTTTTTTTTTTTTTTTTTTTTTTTTTTTT